GGAGTGTCCGGCGGTGGCCAGTGCTGCCCACTCGCTGCCAGGCGGCCCTGGCACCCGCCCTGGCCCCTGAGCGCCCTCTCGGCCTCGGGCACCCGCCCTGATTAGCTTTGGGAACGCGCCGGCTGCCGACCCCCCGGTGCGCACCGCAAACCTGGGACCGGGACGTCCCAGCCTTGGAGTGGTTTTTAAGCAATTCCTCGCAGGCATTGTCTTCCCGGGGAGCCAGGGATCTCAGGGGAGGGGAGAGGAGACCCGCCCCACACACGGTAGCGCAGGCTTGCCCACCACCTCATTTGCATTTCAAAGGCAAACTTCTGCGGGACTTCCCCGGCGGCGGCGGCGGCACCTACCGGCTTTGCAAGGGTCGTGGTAATGCTCCAGCTGCTGCTCCGTGCCCTCCTCGCCGTCCAGCGCCGAGTAGTCTGCGGTGGCGTTCGGGCGCTCCCCGAGTCCCCCGTCGCCGCGAGGCAGCGGCAGCAGCAGCAGCAGTGACACTAGGGCCCCAAGTGCAGTTGCCCGGGGCATGGTGGCGCGGGGCCGGCGGGGGCAGAGGGAGTTGCGTGCACGAAAGCTCGGCTCGGCCGAAAGACGGTGCACACTAGGTCGGTCGGCTGCGGCCGGGACTCGGTGGTTACACAGGGCTGCCGGGCATGGCTCGGGTGCGGAGCAAGTGGAGCGCGGCGCCCCCTGTCTTCGTCGAGGCAACCGGGAAGCAGCCGCTCGGAGCTACTTGCCCGGCGGCCGAGGCTGCGGCGGTTGCGACTGTGGCAGTGGCGGCGGTGGTTGGAGCAGTGGCCGCTCCGCCCCTCTCCACCAGGGCTGGACGACACAGCCTTCGCCAGGGGCCCTGGGCAGCCAATCACTCGGGCGCCCGAGGCCAGGCCCCTCCTCTTCCCGGCACCTCCGCAACTTCGGAGGAAGGCGAGCGAGGTGAAGATGCTGAAGCCAAGGGTCGGGGGCCAGCTCCGCGCCCACCCAGCCGAAGGCGCCTGCCCAGGGCGCCACCTCGGCCTCTGGCTCCCAAAAATGCTGTTTCTGAAGATCGAAGGCTTCCCGCCTTGTTTTATTTCCATAACTCACTTTACAACTCCCCGATGCACACGTGGCCAGAGGCAGCAACAGTGGTTAGAACTCCGAGCGCTGGACCAGGAGCCCTGTGTACACGATTCATGTCACTACCAACGGGCTATGTGCATTCGGGCAGCTGCTTCTCTGCAGGGACGAGTGAATGTCTCTGAGGTCCCTTTCAGCAAAGAAAAAAAAATCGAGGATTTCGATTCTCTCAGCTCTCTCCATATCCCCCAGTCCAGCCATGAAGGGCGCTTGCTGGTGGCACCCACCTAACCTAACCTAGAGGCTGGCGATAGATAGGAAGAAAGATTTAAGTCCACAGATTTCCCCTCTCGGTGATCCTATCTTTCAGTAAAACAGTCTAAGATGCTTCATACAGTCAAAAAGACACAAATGAACAGCTGTATGTGCTATTTGTGTTAAATTACAGACATGTTTTTATTAAATTAACCACTCACTGTTCACTTGATGGAATAAAAATGACCAATTTCTGAAGTCTTTTTTTTTTTTTGTCAATTAAAAACATATGCCCAAATAATTTAGGAGACTAATCAAGAGATATTTGAAACCCACTTCTATTTTGTACCTTAAATGTAAAAATTGTCAGAACTGAGCCATTTTGATTTAGAGATATAAAAAGTATTACTGTGAGGCTTTTCAAAGATCTTTTTACACAAGTAAAATGGCCTTCTCAAGTATAACACACAAATGTGTATGTGTAGACACGTTTTGCATCATGCCCAGTAGAATCTTTTTCCAATTTAAACTGCAAGCAGAAAAACGGACAACTTTCCTTTTGGATTTCCACATGGTTTCACATACATCAATGACAAAATAGTCAACAGGGAGCCCAGAGCTGGGCTTCACATCAAACTCTGAATTTCTTGCACTTATGGTCATCTGTCTTCTCATCTATCAACTAGGATAACAAGTCCTTCACACAAGTAAAGGGTTAAAAGTTAACTACTGGAAGGATGCTACTCATATTTTGTCCTCATTCTTAGAAATGCAATGTTGACCCTGCCTCATGCTGTTTTCATCAAATGGGCACATAACATACAGAATGGAGCCAGACAGGGCAAGATCTGGTTAGAAACTGGCAGGTGGGAGGAAGGAATTTGAAGGGGATAAATGCCACCAAATGGCAGAGAAGGCCAAGTGGCCACTGCATAGGCAAAGGAGTGGGAGGGGGTCGAATGGCATGCATTTCTGCCTGAATACCAGGAGTCAAACCCAACGCCATAGCTCTCTGCATTCACCCCTATGAAGGTCACCACCTTTGGGTAGACAAGTCCAAAGAGTCAACATCTAAAAGGCCTAACAAACTTCTGTGACACTTCCAGGTCTCCAGATGGCACTAGGCAAACCACCAACTGGCTTCTTCATTAGAAGGGAATTCCTCTGGAAAATAGACATGAGAGGCCGCCTCTTGTGCAAGCAATGAGGTTGTGAGCTTTTATGACCTCCAATTCCCACCTGGTGAGTAGTGGCCAGGTCTTCTCACCAACACCCTTTGTCCAAATATTTTGAAGAAAGTGGTGTCGAAGAATGAGCAAGCTGCAGTTTTATGTTATTAAAGTAGAAGGCCAGTTTAGTTGCTACTTTGGCTATCAACCAATAAATGGCAACAAAATATTTGGTTCACTAGAAAGATTAGAAAGGAATGATTGAAAAGGGACACCATAAGATAGAACTATAAAAGCTAAACTGTAATCTAGGTTAGATGATTTTTTTAAAATGTATTTTTTCTTTAATTTAAAAACCAAGAAAAAACTGGAGGTAGATTTAGAATAACAGGCTTTATGCCATAAAACTGCTCAACTTAGCTCCATTATTACGTTCATAATTACTTCAGGGTTTCCTCTGCCGTATCTTTGGGTCCTCTGTGAACCTGAACAAGTGTTTTTCTCCTCTCAGATGTCCATCTCCCACCCAACTCATTCCATCTATACCCCTATGCCCAAAGTAACTGGGTTCCTTGCCCCTTCAAATCTACTGAGTTTTATCCACCTGGGCCACTTTCTCATTTTGCCTTTCCAGGCCACTATACATGATAATTTGTTCCAGTGTAGGCAGCAGAACCTCCAAAATAGAGGGCAGTCTCATCATGCCAGCTCATTCCTTCATTTACATTGCTGACCACTGAGAAGATACTGAGTTTTTTGGAGAATGTAATTTAGCAGCTGCTTAAAACCCTTCCTGGCTCTCCAAAACCTTTATCCAAGCTCCTCAGGGTGACATACGAGGTCCTCCATTCACCACCAAGCCTTCCTTTTACCTTTCCAGTCTTGGCTCCTTACAACTCCCACATTCCAGTTTTCTGGCATTAAACACCCTGCAGTCATCCTAACATGGCCTCGACGCTTCACACCCTCCATGTCTGCCTGGGACACCTTGATAACCACATATCCCACATCCTCATGCCAGCATCGCAGCTACCCTATCTGTGACACTTACCTACCCAGGACTGCCCTACCTTTCTGGTCTATAATTGCAGCAGAGCTCTCTGACCAACTCCAGCTTAGAATCACCTTCCACGTCTCACTCTGTAGACTCTCCCTTTTCTTCACTGACCTTCAAGATGAAGTCCTGTAATCCTAGTGGCTTAGACTGAGACAATAAGAATAACCATAACATTGGCCAGCCCCACTTATATCAATTTTCCCCTACAACCATCTCCTGCATTTTTTCCCTTTGAAATGGCTGTGAAAGTAATCATGCAAACTTTGAAAATCATTTTAAATAATCAAGTAATTTAAAATACATTTGTAAACTACACTGATTCCACATGTCCCAATTAGGCTTATTCCCCCCGCTTTCTGTTACATTGCACAGTAACAGTTTCACAAAAATAGTTCACTTGAAATCAAGAAGCTGGTTGCATAAGAGTCCCTTCTGTCCTTAGTTTTCCAACCAGACAAAAAGTGTTCATTAAAGAAATCAAAAGTAATCCAAATTTGTACCATTTGGCTAATGGGAATTGCCAAGTACAGGTGTTGACCGAGGCAGCTAATAAAACTAGAAGAACCAAGGAGGTTGGTCAGGATTTTAAAAAACTAGTCAGAAACGGAAAAACAAAACGTACAAATACACATGGAGAAATTAACCACTGATTTCAATGTGGCACAATAAAAATAATCTCTTCCATTTGTATAGAACACTAATTTTCAATGCAACTTCTGCATATATTATTTGCCTCCCAGGCTACAGAGGGTGACACTCCCATTTTACAGTTACAGTAGTCAAGACAACAGGGCCCTGAATCTTGATTACTTCTGGGCTAAACATAGGAGCACCTTTAGCTGCTCTGGTTTATCCACAAAATACGGCTATTTACTCTACCAGCTTCACAGGATGGTTGTGAGGGAACATGTGAAACTGCTTTGAAAAAGTAGTACATGCTAAACAAATGGAAAGTATCATCAATCAGAGGATGGCAGGCAAATAGATGGTAAAGTCTGAGTATACAAAATAGGTATCCAAAAAAGTCAAAAGAATGGCAATAAAAGAAAAATCATTCCTAAGAAAGACAATCTTACTCATTGGACCATTCTCTCAACTTTACGGTACATTAAAGTCCTTTTTCAAAATATAAATTTAAACCTTTTTAAATACATCATTCTAGGGGTTAGCGGACTATGGCCTGCGGGCTGTTTTTGTGAAGTTATACTGGAACACAGCCATGCTCATTAGTTTATATAGCCTACCATGGCTGCTTTGGTGCTACAATGATAGTTTCAACAGAGACTGGATGGCCCTCAAAGTCTGAAGTATTTACTATCTAGACCTTCACAGAAAGTCTGCAGACCCCTGCTTTATTTAATTGTGGACAACTATAATTAAGTTCTTCATTTGCCTGTCAATAATGGGTTATCCCTTATGCTTCGTTCATGTTTCAAAAAGGAAAGAAATAAGGAATCCAAGGGAAGTACATTTAACCTTTTATTACTTTTAAAAAATCCAAATTCAGATAAATTAACACACTAGGTTAGAACCTCAATTGTATTTGATACATTATATACTGGACTTCTATTACTAAAAAGCCAGTTGGAATATGGCCTATATGAACCAAAGAGTGTATACAAAATGGAAGTGATCATTGGCAATAACTGTTTCCTTGGAACTCTGCACCGACTGTCCATGCTCTGTGGGGACTTACAAATTCAAGTTTGACACAGTTGAAAAGCCAACTGGAGCTGCTTTTCCAAGAATGTTCTGTTGTCCTTGAAATAGAATTCCATGTTATTTCTTCCTTGCCTTAAGCTCTTATATCTTTCAAATGACCCAAGTTGATGAACTGGAGTAAACACAAACTATGCTGCAGTTATCAATTAGCAAGCGCCTAGTTCACCAATACTTCAAAATAAACAGACTTCACAAGTTTATTTCCATTCCTAACAGTGGAATAATAACTTAATTTTGTTCACTTTTGTCTTTGTAGATTTCTGTCTACAGCTCCAGTAAGAATGCCAAATCAGATGGCTTTTAGGAAATCCTCCTAGGAGAGAACCAGAGTTGTTCCTCACACTGAATTTAAGTCTTACAAGATCTCTGCAGGTTCATATGTTAACTTTCTGATCTAGCCTACTTGTAAGTCTAGTTTATTTCTGTACACACTTCCAAATAATCTTCATAAATGTTCACTTCTCTGATTGAAATATAACACCTTGATCGATGAAATACAGTTTCATAATTATAGAATTTTAGTGAAGATATAAAACATTAATGAATACTTGTGTTTTAATACATCACTACTCCTATTTATTACATGTTCCAGTAAACCAATAGAATGAAGCACTAAGACACGGTGAAATCTAAACTTAAAACCTAGATGGAACTGCCATACAGATTACAAATGGGTCTCCCTACCACAGAATTCATATACAAAAGCCCTTCGGTATGTAGCTTTTCCTGAACAAATACATTAATACACTTGTTTTTCACATTTGTAAAAATTCAAGGTTTTAATAACATTTCTTTGCAAGACATTTGGTATAAGGTGGTTAATAAACATTAGAAAACAAACAATATATCAAAATGGTTAAGATTTGTGAATAAACCCTAAATAAAGTGGCTTTTGGAAGAAATGGATTTTGCAGCAACCAACTTTATAAAGAGGTCCATCCACTCTCAATGGAAAACACCCAAGCGTACCATTCACTAGGTTCGGATATTACCACAATATAATGAATTCTGAGAGTATGGGGTTTGATTTATGGGCAACCCCAGTACAATCTAGGAGCCCAACAGGATAAAAAATACTAAAAGAATGCTTCACCATCCCTCAGGCCAGTACATTTCCACCTTATCCTACTCTTGTATTAGGATATATGTATACAAATGTCAACTACTAATGTAGTTAAATTTCAGGAGAAGCATGCTTAAAGATACACGGGGAATGTCTAGCCTTAGTTTTTGATAGTATTTTTCAAAGTGTCAGTTGAAAGAAATTAAGCAAATAATGTTAACAAACGAAAGACAGATACACAGCATTAGTGGGGGTATGAAAATCTCACCCTTCAATTAACTTAAATAATGTTCTATTGTCTAAACTTAGCGCTAGGGAGCTAAACTATTTGTGAATTACATCTTCTGTAAGAACAAGACACACACACACACACACACACACACACACACACACACACACACACACACTTATTCAGCCCCTCTATGCAGCCAAAAACCAATACAAGCCCTTTTCAAAAGACTTTAAAGGTGATTAATATTCATTGTAATGCTCTTAATGTATTTGGAAATTAGAAAACTATTTTTCACCACAGATTCCAAAGAACTTCAAATAAAGCTCAATTTAGTAGAAAGAATTGGTGTACCTGAAAGTATTTAACCCACATATTTTCAATAAACCCTACATCTTACCTGTAAGATTCATATCATGAGAAACAAATTTCATTTTATTAAGACAAAAGCTTACTGTCCAATTTATACTCCCATCAGACAGACTACGTACTGGTATGTTAAAAGTACTTTTGAATAAAAGTGGTGAGAAAGAAACTAAAAAAGTATTTTATATATAGTTAAAAGGTTACATAATATAAACAACTAAATATTAACTTTTAGTTTCTTTTATAGAAGATCTTAAAGGCAAGAAAGAAGGAAGAGAAAATGGAAGTACTAATAAATTACATTTAATATATCATTTTGGCCTAAGAAGAGTAGATTTACCTACAGCTTCTAATCAAATATGTTGGATCATATCAATCATACTTAAGAGGTAAGAAATCGTACTTTTCACCTTTTAAAGGACTTTCATGTCACAATATAGGATGTGGAGTCCATCAATATATAGATACATATTTTGAAATGAAAACATCTTGTGTAACTATTAATCACATGATTTTCATATTAAGGTTTAAATACAGAGGTGTTTTGAGTCTTTCTAAAAATACCAATATACAGTATTGTTTTAGGTGGTCATTTGCATAGCAAACTATTAAACTAGAAACTCAGTGGTTCTAGGAAAACTTCATATTATGAATAGTTCCAGAAAAATGTATTCAAATCACTTCTCTTACAAAACTGTAACTTTTATTTGCTGATCCAATAGTATGTTAACCACTTTTACCCCATCTCCACTTTACACGGTACACCAACCTGAACAGATTTTGTGCCACAATTTCATTCAAAGAGTTTGTCATTCACTTTATGATTGTGCTGGATAATCTAGATATAAGCAAGTCTGGAGATTTTAAAGTATGGGTCCCCTGTATGAGAGTAGCATAGTTTATATTTTTTTAAATGGCATTAATTTTGCCTTTTGAACAGAAAGTTATCTTCAAATTGCAAACACATCTATTTCCACAAAACAATTTGGTCAGGAAATTTTATTTGAACATTCTAAAGCAATAATGCTTTAGATGTTACTTAAGTGTCCCAGACAGGATTAACAAAATTAAATGTCTCTAAATTACAAATTTGGCTCCTGTAGGAGTCTCAGAAAATAAACCAAAGAAAACAACCCCCCTCCCAAAAGAAGTATGACACACACATTTTGAGGAAACCCCAATGTTTCATGCAATGGTAGGCAAGATGTAAAAGGCCACCCAAATCACACATTTCTACACCAATCATCATAAGAAAAAAGTACTCTGCAGTCGATTTGTACATCCAAATGCATTTGGGAATCTATACCTACGTTACATTATTTAATGTTATATACATTTATTACCCACCCCCCCTTGTTTTTAACAATTTCTTATGTAAAACCTTCATTCAAACCCAAAAGATGTAAGACTAACTTGGGGGAAAAAATGATAATCGCTTTAGACATTCAGTTAAAATGTAGTTTATCTAAATCTCAAAATGTTTAATAAAAACAAGTATCTTCTCCATTTAACACTTTTGCTTTCTAACTGTACAGTAAATTGCATTGTAGAGAGTACATCTCTATCTTCAAACTGTATCTTCTTTGGATGGAATTAAAATGTAACTGTATAGTTTTAAGATAAATAAATGGGAAGTTGGTCCAACTAAGATGACAGCAGATATATTACATGCAGGATTTAATATTTTCTAATTCCCTCTTAAAAAAAAAAAAAAAAGGATGCAGTTGGATTGGGGGGAAAAAAAAGTCAAAAAAGAACCCAGATTCAATATATAAAAATGTCCCACAATAGGTCGACAATGGCAGTAAAAATAAGAGGAAAAAAGTAATCTTTCTGGAACATCATTTTTCAGTAACATAGAAACACTTAAGTGCCAGGAAGATTCCTATTCATGTAATTTTAGCATCCAAGTTTCCCTCTATTTATTTTATTGGAACAAATGCTTTAAATAAACTATTTGTCCTCTTCACTGAAGAGAGCTGGTCTATTTCATCTTTAATGAGCTAGTTTTTGGGAAGATTAGCCATGTACTGTAGTAATGCCTACTGCGTAAAATCCAAGCATTTGCTGTGAACAGTTGGAGAAAGCAGTCAGTAAGAACCTAGGATCAATGGAAATAGATGTTACTTTAAGCCATTGACGAAAGAGAGACCCACAAAGTACCCGGTGTGTTAAAGCCCAAATCTCTTCTTGCGTTTGTTTTTGCTGTGCGAGTTCCACCCCTATGAAAAAGAAATTGATCTGAAGTTCCAGGTTTTCTTGGGTCTCTAGTCAATTTTCACATTAGTATAGATTTTTCGGACAAAGGCACTTGTTCCCATGTAACCAATCGCTCCTGCAAAGATAAAATAAGATGTTTTGAAACAAATACATACAGAGCAGTATCCATCATTTAAAAACACTAAATACTCTATGCTCTGGAAAGTTCCTCTTTTTTAAAGGTAGTATCTTTATTTTAGTATTCTCTCTGAACTTACTAAAACTGTATCATTTAATTTGCAAATCACCTGATACCATAATACACCGAGTCTGACCATCATACACCACATGTAATCAAGCAGCAATTATTTCTTGTATAATCAGTAACTACGGAATTAAAATACATCCCTTATAAAGCAAGAATAATTTCATAATGGCGAAAAGTTGTTAAATGAAAAAACATGCCTTCTTTGATTTGAAGATATATTATTCTAGTCCATTAAAGCAAAAATCAATATATCTTCCCAAAATCCAATAGATAAAGTAAGAAGGGACGGGGGATTCTCTTAAGGAAGGACAGGGAACCATGTCCCAATAGCAGCTGAAGCTCTAGAGAAGAGGCATTTTCTGACAGCTTCTTTTTTATGTTTAAGTTGTAGCTGTGTAGTTGGTAGAAGGGATGATGTATTTGCGGGAATTGACAGGAGAGAGATGTAAGTGGGTCAGAAGTTTTGAAATGTTGTTTTTTAATAATTAGCCTCAACTAGAGCTTAAAACACCAGAAATCAGGGATATTTGTTTGTTTTGTTAAATATTTACCTCCTGTGTCTAAAATAATGCCTGGCATATAAGATACTTGGTAAATATTTGTTGAATGAATGAATGAATGAACTGGATGGTTCTTTATTGCAAATATAGGTTGGTGCACAAGTATTTGCAGCTTTACAATTACTTTTGCAGCAACCTACTAACGGCTCTTTAGAACAATGCATTTGGTTATTGAACTGTCAGAGAAAAAATCTACATTGGTCTTAGGAATATATGAGGTAGCCCAATATTATTGAAAGCTTAAAAGAAAACCTTCCATTAATTAACAATGGCAAGTGCACAACAAATGCCTAATTAGTCACCCTTGAACTAACTTTTATTCACCAAACTGGTGAATGAAAGGCAAGAAACAAGCATCTTTCCTGTTTCTCCTATATATGAACTATACCCCAAGGCTACCAAAACTGGTTGATGAAAGGAAGGTTATCCTTATGTAAGTATTCCAGCTAACAAATATAAAAGAAACAATAGAATTAGACTAGTGTAACCACTAATGAATTATTTGAGCTAGGCAATAACTATCAATGGCTGCTAACTTCACATAGAAATAGAACCAGAAATTATGTGCTCCCCTGATAAAAGCTTACAAACCACCTGTTAAACATTCTTGGACAAGTATTCTTGAGTATGATCAAGCCTACAGATCTAACTACCACTTGGAGAAACTTTAAATGACACTTCAACAATATAATCAGCAAAATCCAGAGTGTGGAAAACTCCACAGAAATTTTTTAAGTTTTAAAAATAAATCGCAAGTGAGAGAGAGAACATCTATAGATTAAAAGAGCCTTAAGAGACATTTTAGCCAAGCAATTCATGAACCTTAATTGATCTCAATGTAAATAAACTATATTTAAAAAGAAGTCATTACAAGTGTGGTAAATTTGAACACTAACTGAATTATTCCATCATATCAAGAAATTATATTTATCTTTCAGGGAGGGACATATACTGAAATATTTACAGTTGAAATGACATAAGGTCTAAGATTCATGTCAGAATAAAAGGGGGGATACAAAGTGGGGATATAAATAAAACAAGATAGGCCATGAGTTGATAATTACTGACACTGACATGGGGACTCACTATATATAGTATCATCCCTATTTTTGTATATATTTGAAAGTTTCCCTTTATTAAATATTAAAATACAAAAAAAACACAAAATGACAAAGCAACACTATTTGCATTTATTTTTGCAATGACTAGTCATTTCTTTTATAATAGGAAATAACGATATTACATTTTAAAATATTGATAATGCATTTTAAAATAGTTACAATACAATTCTCTACAGGGTAAGAGAAAAATCACTCAATTTTGTGAAAATATACCTGAATCCTTACGGCATGAAAAGATGTAAAAAATTTTAATTAGCATTGAAAATTTTAATGGTATAATACTAGAGCCAAACCAAATCCAATTTTCCAGATATACAAAACATTGTTCCCTTTGAGCAGAAATATGCTTAAAATCAAAACAGTATCAACCTAGAGAATCATTTTTCCTAATCTTTTTTTTTTTTTTTGAGACATAGTCTCGCTCTGTCGCCCAGGCTGAAGTGCAGTGGCACGATCTCGGCTCAATGCAAGCTCCACCTTCCATGTTCACGCCATTCTCCTGCCTCAGGCTCCCAAGTAGCTGGGACTACAGGCACCCACAACCACACCTAGCTAATCTTTTATATTTTTTAGTAGAGATGGGGTTTCACCGTGTTAGCCAGGATGGTCTTCATCTCCTGCCCTCATGATCTTCCTGCCTCGGCCTCCTCAAAGTGCTGGGATTACAGGCGTGAGTCACTGTGCCCGGCCGCATTTTTCCTGATCTTATGAGTACCTCAAGAATAAACTTACAAGGGCACGACTTCATAAAAAGAGAATACTGAATATGCCCTCTAGAAAAGTAAATATTTTAGGAATAATAGAAGTGCACTATTAAACTTAATTCCTCAAAACAAAAATGCTAGGCTCATAATATCCCACCTTAACGTAGTCATTTTTTCCTACATTTAAAAAAATCAACAAATATTTTTGTTCTAATTACTGACTTAAGCATTTTAGCAACATAAATTGATGGATATAATTTTTGTATTATGATGACATTCTAATCACTTCCAGTCTAAACAGCTTCTCCCTACCTGCCCCTGAAAACTGAAGCACTGAAAGCATATAAACCCATTAAAGAATAAATGCTGGGACATTGCCAGAACAGCAGGGAACTGTAAATGTGCCAAGATTTTCAGGCAGCAAGATGAAATTTCAGCAGGAAAACCACTCAAAAAATTTAGCTACATTTTCTTTGTAAATGTCAAGACATTGCCTCTCTGGGTCTTCCTAAGATCACTTATAGAAAAAGTCAAGAAAATTTTTTTTACCTCTCTGCCTAATCGATTCTATACCTCACTGAATGTTGGTGATAATCAGGAAAAATCAGATAAAATAAAGAGGAGTCCAGTGAACAATACTCTGAAGAAAGGATGGCCAATAATACTATAGAAACCTTCTGACTGCCCAAGAATAGGGATGTTTCCACATGACACAATCTAGTTTTAACCTTCAGTCCCTCTCATCTTTCCCTCAAAGTTGGTTACTAATTGTCACAGGGAATGGCTATCACAGTAGCTATAAATAAAACATGACTATAACATAGAGAATGATCTTTCCTTGTGGAATGTTTCACTACTTTACAGACAATCTCATTTGTCTGTGCGCACACACATGATCACATGCATAGTGTATATGAATTGAACAGGCTCTTTTGATGGAGAAACAAAGCAATCTTGGTATCCCAAATGTGTCCATAAATGTCACACCAAGACCTAGCTTTTAATAAGATTATCATATCTTATATATATTATATAGCCAAAGATGGAATTATCAAATACACACATATATACATAAACAGCCAATGGCAAATAACAGAAAAAGGAGGAAAAGTATCCACTCTCTGGAAATGTTTCCACCGTGATTAAGTCCCTCAGACTTACATCATTCCTACAAAGTAACTAAGGGACCACTCTCATTTATCAAGTAAAACACATCATTTCTACGAAGTAATTAAGGGACCAGTCTCATTTATCAAGTAACACTGAACCCGAAAAAAAGTGAGTTACTAGTATGAGTTTCTGTTAAGGTACCTCTGCCTGGACTTGGTGTCATAAAGTTGTTCAGCAGCAGGTACCCCTCACTGAGCATCTACCAGTCACCTGATGTTTATCCACATTTAATCACTGAATTCTCTTTACAGCCCTATGAGGTAAGTATTATTTCTATTTTGCAAATGAGTAAAGTTGAGGAAGAAAGGTTAAATAATTTGGCCAGAGTAACAGGGCTATTAAGTGGGGAATTCACACCCAGAACAGACTGACCCCAAAAGGCCAGATCTTTCCATACCTCACCATGTAAATGGCTATCCTTACTACCTAATAATAGTCCAAGCACTACACTTGGTGCTTTACACACATGACACTATTCCTCACAACTACTCTGAAAGATATGCCCATTTTACAGATAAAAATGAGACCTAGAAAGGTTAATGTGACCTCCATGGCCACAAAAAAAGCTGAGCAACAGCATGGACATTTATTTCAGTGTTTTCAGGCTCTCATACTTACGCCTTTCCCATTTATCATACTGTTTCCAAAAGTTCTTTATTTTCTTGCTATTTCACACATTCTAGAGACTCTATCATATGGTGAAAACTATTACCTCTTCCTTTTAATAGATGATTATGATAGATCCATAAATAGTGGTTTTATCCCCACTTTACAAAAACTTAGAGAGCTTTGGGAACTAGATCAAGGTGGAAAGCATACATATGGTACAGCCAGAACTTAAGTCCAGTCTGTAGATACCCAAGTATGCAATCATAACAAGTAAACTGTGCTGTCTCATAGGTATCTCCTGGTTTCTCCAAGAATAGTCTGAGAAGTTTCCAAACAGGAATCATTCAGGCAACACCTTAACATGCCTACATCATGATCTTCCATTGAACTTAGGCTTTAAAAAATGCCAATTCTCAAACCAGGCACAGTGGCAGGTGCCTGTAGTCCCAGCTAGTTCAGAAGCTGAGTCTCTAAAAAAAATAAATAAAATGAAAAAGCCAATTCTCAAAATGAATGAAAAACTAACTGTGGTATGAAATTCTGAGCTATATAGAATTACTAGAATTTCTATAAAAATAGAAATTAATAAGGTAATAAATTATGTTGTGGGGAAGAGTCAAAAGAACTGAAATCAGACTCAGGTTTATTTTGGTGTTTCTGATCAAACAACAGACAGAATTTCTTAATTTCCATTTACTGTATTTTTCTGATTCAGAGAAACTCAGATTTACTCATGATGTTCAAAGAATTTCAGAACTTACCACACATTATCCCCAAGGCTGTGCTAAATACCGCCATATATCCAAAGTAAAATGATGTCTGAAATAAGCCATACATCCTGAAATAAAACAAAATATATATAGGATATCCGTTTTTACTTTTAACATAAGGCCTTAAATATTAGTATTTAAAGGACAAATTTAGTTTCCTAAGTAAAAAGTGAAAAAATGTCTCCACTTACTTTGTTTTGAAAAAATAGTAGTAAAAGGAATACATGTAAACATAGATTGCAGTTGATGCAGCAGAGAGAAAACTTGTCCATTGCCTGGTGTGGGGAGGGGGAGAGAAGATAACTCTTTTGAATCAATGGCACTAAAACAAAGATTTTAAAGCAAATAATTTAACAAAACATCCTTTAAAGTCCTTTAAAACGTATTTAAAAAACAAATGCATAGACATGGTATTTAAATTTATTAACAAGGAGAACATCTAAGAATTAGAAAGTTCGATCTTGAATTTTGTCAGATTCCCTATTACCAGTGACCATAAATACACCATTTCCTTTTCCAGATCTAAGTCTCCTTGTGTTTAGAATGGAGCAATGCTTCTCATAAAACTCTTTTCATATCAAACACTTTGTAAAACACATGTCTAACATAGAACTCCATTAATACATTAAAAATTTGATATTATTTTTTCTCTAAAATATGTATCATTTTTATAACTGGAAAAAAAATCCCTATGTTATTTTAAGTAACAAAATTTCTATACAGCTCTTACTCCACTTGATAGATTTCAAAGGAAATCTTATTTTAAAATATTATGGTTCCCCAAATTTCTTTCCACAAATAGGTACTTACCACCTGTAATCTTCTGCATTTAGTAGAAAATATGTGCACACAATAGTCACACAGACAGTCACAATGCACAGGATAACCAGCACCAGCATCATGAAGCCATAGACATAATAGATCTTATATGCCCAGAAAGATGTGAAGATGAAATACCTAAGTAATGCAATAAAGACACAGGTTTCCAGTCTTTATTCTTAAAGCTCACTCTGCTCTTTCTAGAAGTCTCACATTTCAGTTCTCATTTTTTTCTCACTTAATGATTTTCTTTCAAGTATCTTCCAACAGTTTCTCTTACCATGTCTTCATCAATTAAATCCACTAGAATTCTCTCAAAAAATTTCTTGGATAATCTTTGAAAAACAGATTATTCAGTAGGGCATTCACCTCTACACAAACTGAATAAAACAGAAGCTTAGAGAAGTATAATGTAGAAAAGAACAAATGAAAATAGCTAAAAAATCCGTATTTGTATCCATATTGTTTTGTAGATACAACACAATTCAAGCAATGTAGTTTGTATTTTATTAAATAGAAAATATAATACTCTATTAAATAGAAAAATAAGTTAGAGCAATAATGTGTAAAATTAGGAAAAGCAAGCCTAAAGAAGATTCACACTGTCTTCAGAGGACAGCAAGTGAAAGGGCTTTAAGATTTTTAATTAAGAAAAAGATCTTTAACTCTAATCCATTACCAAGTCATCATTAAATTACAACAGAGCCTTTCAGCCTCTTATCTTTTTCTTGTTGCCCAGGCTGAAGTGCAGTGGTGCAATCTCAGCTCACTGCAACCTCCACCTCCCACGTTCAAGCAATTCTCCTGCCTCAGCCTCCTGAGTAGCTGGGATTACAGGCGCTTCTTTTTCTTGTTGCCCAGGCTGAAGTGCAGTGGTGCAATCTCAGCTCACTGCAACCTCCACCTCCCACGTTCAAGCGATTCTCCTGCCTCAGCCTCCTGAGTAGCTGGGATTACAGGCGCACACCAATGCGCCCAGCTAATTTTTTGTATTTTTAGTAGAGACGGGGTTTCATCATGTTGGCCGGGCTGGTCTCGAACTCCTGACCTCAGGTGATCCATCCGCCTCAGCCTCCCCATCATTCATTCTTTCAACAAATATTTACAGAGCCCCTACCATGTATCACGAAAGCAGTGAGAAAAGCAGTAGACAACAAAGTCTCTCTACCTTCAAGAAGACTACTAGCTAGTTGGGAAACACCAGTAAAGACTATGATACACTGTGATATGTGCTACATGAATGCACATAAGGGGTTATCTTCCCATTGTGGCTGAATGGGGCTTTATAGGGGGAAAAGAATCAGATAAGGAATGCGGAGGGTAAGGGGAGCTAGAAGAATGTTCCAGGTATGCCAGGCATGGTGACTCACACCTATAATCCTAGCACTTTGGGAGGCTGAGGCAGATGGATCACCTGAGGTCGGGAGTTTGAGACCAGCTTGATCAACATGGTAAAATCCTGTCTCTACTAAAAATACAAAATTAGCTGGGCATGGTGGCACACGGCCTCCCCAACTACTCGGGAGGCTAAGGCAATGTAATCGCTTGAACCCGGGAGGTGGAGGTTGCAGTGAGCCGAGGTAGTGCCATTGCACTCCAGCCTGGGCAACAAACGAAACTCTGTTTCAAAAAAAAAAAAAAAAAAAGAATGTTCCAGGCACAGGAGCAGCAAAAGCAAAAGTGAGTAAATAAAGGGGATCCACTGCATTTTGAAAAACTGAAAGTAATTCAGTATGGCTAAAACTTTAAATGAAGGGGAAAGAACTAAGAAATGAAGTTGGAGAAGTGAATAGGACCAGTTCTTAGGTTATTAAGACCCTTAATAGCCATGTTATGGAGTTGGGACCTCACCTCAATTAAAATAAGAAGTGTTAAGTAAAGAAATGACATGACACCTTAAAAAGACCACTTTGGCTACCAGGAGGAGAATAGGTTTGAGGGTGGACAAAACAGAAGTTGAAGAAACAGCAGAGAAACTATCTAGTGGAACACAGTGCCCGGAGAAACACAAAGACATGTGGTTCAGAAATACTGGGGACAGGGGTAGAAAGGAAAAAGTAGTCACAGGTCAAGTATGGGTGAAGGCACAAAGCATTGTCAGACTGGAACTAAAGAAGTTCCTGAACCGACTATAATAAACCACGAGTTACAGAGACACACACTCCAACTCCTAAGGTACTAATGCCCACAGCATATGCAGAACTCGTAAGTGACAATGAAGAGTTGTTCCACATCTACTTATGTCAGTTGTACCTGTTAGTACAATTAGACTAAATTGAATAAATTAAATGTTACATAAACCGATAAACATCAGAGTAAAAAGGATGCGTGGTTACTATAAAAATTATGTTGAATGCTTTGGAAAGATTTGATAAGGTGAGTCCCTTTAAAAAAGTTATAAAATTCGATGTGATTGAGATGGCTATAGACTGGGGGACAAATGTACAAATCTAGAAGGATTCTGCACTTAGAATGCTTCAGATAGGACCTTATGTTCTTGCTTCACTTTAAAAAGGATGGAAAACACAGAATCTGTATTACGAATGTCAAAGAAAAAAAAATGAAAAAATTCCAATGAAGAAAAAGACTGTGACTCTATATTTAAAAAAAAAAAAAATCAGTGAAGGATGTACATTTACTTGTCTTAAAATATTATGTATGTATCTTTTTAAATAATTCTCTTACATGAGTCATCGTTTTCAATTAACCAACTACCAAATCCAATTACGTCTGTTAAGAAAACTCCTACCATACAGGAGACAATCCGCAGTGGGGCGTCTGGAAACATGTAAGGCTATTTTAAGTTGTCACAATGACTGGTATTTAGTGGACAGGAGCCAAGGGTGTATAGCTGCAATACCTGAGAAAGCCCCATATGGTGAACTGTCTTGCCTAAAATAACCAGAGCATTCCCATCAGGGGGCACTGGGACATAGACTAAGAACAGAAAGGCTTTTTTATTTTGCAATGATGACAAAGGATGCAGATGTAAAGCACAGTAAGTGGCATAAGGTGGCATACCTCTCACCTCCAAATACATACACACTTCCTAGCACTCCTGCAGGCCTCTATGGAAGGAACCTAGGAAATGACTATGCATCAAAAGATGTCAGGACCTAGATGGACTAGTAGGTAATGGTTTACCTAGTTCCCTAGATCCTCAGAAATATTTTAAAAATACAATAAAAACCAGGAATTCCTTAAATCATGCCTATGATCGAAGGCTGGTCTACCATTCTTTAACACATAGCTTTGATTTCTTTTTTTTTTTTGAGACGGAGTCTCGCTCTGTCACCCAGGCTGGAGGCAGTGGCGCGATCTCGGCTCACTGCAAGCTCCGCCTCCTGGGTTCACGCCATTCTCCTGCCTCAGCCTCCCGAGTAGCTGGGACTACAGGCACCCGCCACCACACCTGGCTGATTGTTTTTGCATTTTTTTTTTTTTTTTAGTAGAGACGGGGTTTCACTGTGTTAGCCAAGATGGTCTCGATCTCCTGACCTCGTGATCTGCCCACCTCCGCCTCCCAAAGTGCTGGGATTACAGGTGTGAGCCACTGCGCCCGGCAACACATAGTTTTGATTTCTAAGATTTCCTCTTAGGTGAGGGAGGTCTAGAATACAATACAAAAAGGTATAAACATCACCTGAATATTTAAGAACACAGTCAACAGCTACCTTTATATAGCCTATTAGACCCCTTTCTGGAATCATGGAATTAACAGACTATTAGATGTTCTCCCAACTGATGACTTTACATGTTTCCTAACTCCTAAATTGTCTTACTATAATCAAATCCCTCAAAACATAAATACATTATCAAAACTTACATTTCAATAAAGATTGAACCAAAAGGTAAAATTCCACCCAGGCAAACAATAACTGCAGGCTCCATGAACCTGGAAAATATTAAAATTAATAGTAAACTTCTAGTATGATTTCCATATTACATAAACACTGATAACAGAAAGCAGGTACTTGACACTTAAAATCATCTCTGAAGGATAGAAACAAACCAGTAAAATGAAAAGCCAAAACCAAAAGAGGCACAATATATAGGTGGGACTTCAATTTAGCCACAGGTTATAATCAATATTCTTTCTGCATTAAAGGCTGAGACAAGTATATGGAGAACAAAAATTACTGACACTGGCAAAACTTGCAAAAGTCTCTAAGTGTTCCCTCTGGTTCTACTAGACTTCCATAACTTCTTAGAACCCTATAGGCATTTATTCACAAAAAGCCAAAGGGAAAGAAAGTGAGAGTCGAGAGACCTCCATTTGAAATAATGTTTCCCAAATTGTGGCCTTGTCATCTCTTTGCTCATTCTCTCCTTAGTTCTATAATTCCTTTTCCTAAAAATTATGCAATTAAGGTATTATGAGTTCTTATTTATAATGGCACCAAAGAAATAAAAAATAAAATTTGAAATTCATTCATTCATTCAACAAACATTTACTGACTGTAATGGGTAATTCCCCACCTGGATGCCTTCTCTCGTCTCCTATTGCTCTCCTGAAAGTATTGCCCAAATGTTCTCCCTTTAAAACCTTTGCTGAGTCTCCCAGGAAGAGGTGGGTCCTTCTCTCATTCTTCCACTGCCTCTTGAACATATCTCCACCACACTACATACCCACACTATACTGTAACTGTCCAATTCCAAATACATATGTGTACATATATATAAAAAACCTCACTAGATTATAAACCATGGCAGGCAGAAGCTATTCATTCAGGTATTTCCAGTGCCTAGCACAATACCTGGCACAAAAAAGATCCTAAACTAATAACTATGAAATTAACAAACTAAAAAACTGAGAAAAAAATTTTAAAATTTGAGAGCTGAAAAAAACCTTAAAAATCATTTAATGTAGTCTTCTTTCATTACTTTACAGGAAGCCAAGACTCACTGAGGTTAAAAGTGATCTGCCCAAGGTGACACAGTCAATGAGAGGCAGATCTAGTATTCAGATTTAGGTTCCCATGATTATACTCCCCAAAACAGAGACACACACAAGCCTTCCTATACCTAAATGCAAAGCATCTTTGGTGAGGAAGCTCTCACCAGACCTCCTCTCCTTCACTAGCCCTAGTGACTTAGAGGAACTTTTGTGACTTCTGACTATGATTTCCCTTTAACCTTACCCTTCCTAGTAAGGATACTGATGGGTCCTAACAGTCTAATACTGATTTACGGAAAAAAAAAAAAATTACTTTAAAAAATAAACTACAAAACTTCTAACCAAAGTCTCTCATAAGCACCAATCTAAGGAAAGAAAAGAATGTGGCCAATTCAAACTATAGGGGCTATTTTATTCATCCTCCATTTCTATAAATGTCTACATGCTTCCGGTCTAGAAAGGACAGAGCAAAATTATCACCTATTTGTATAAGCACCTGAATATGCTATATTTATAATCTGGTAAAATATCTAGGGACAGAGACTTAATATATATATATACATACAGTACTAAAATATCTGGAAAGATAGTAAATATTTCAGGTTCTGCAGGTGATAGCATCTCTGACATAACTACTGATCTGCCAGCTCTGATGCTGTACTATAAAAGCAGCCACAGGTAATTCATAAACAAATGGGCACGGCTGAATTCCAACAAAACTTTATTGACAAAAATAGGCAGCAGACTAGATTTGGCCTGCAGGATTAGTAAAACTGCAGCTTTAGTTCACACCCACCTCTACACCGTAGGAAAGCATTTGACTTAACTGTAAATGGCACAATATTCAGCAAGTGGAATAAGGGTACAATTTATTATTACTCCTAACAATGTAGGTTAAAGGAAACAGTAAAATGAACTCCTTAGGCTCAAACTTAAGATTGTCATTCTCATAAATACATGCCAATTCTGAAGTTACATGTACACAACAGCCTTAAGAACTTATATATTGTGTGAAACAATCGCGTAAGATTTAGCATTCTCTTTACCATTTTTTCTCCGGTATAGGACGAGGCACAGCATTGACACGACAAGGAAAGTTGGGCTGACCTGACAGATTTCGGCCAAGTATTGTACCAACAAGATTTAGAGGAAGAATAACAAAAAAACAGATGCAACAAACGGCCACCTGTAAATTAAATAAAAATGTGTGATTACTCAGAGAACAATAACATTAATAAAAACAAAAGAGACACAATTTAAACACAATTTGATCACAAAAGAAAATGTTTAAGTTCAACATGGGCTAAAATTGTGCAAGAAGTACACTAATGAAAACAGAAAAAGGTATGCTTTAAAATATTAGAACTAAACTAAATACAAGTTGAACTAGTTCTTATCCAATTTAGTTTACCACTTTTTCCTATTCTCCCACACTATCTCTGCCATAGTCCTTTTTTCTCCTCTTTCACTCTCAGCTGTCATGGTTTTTTAAACATATTTATCCATTGTCTTTCATTATTATAACCAACTTACTTATCTGGCTACGCTTTTTGAGCTCATAATATGCACTTAGAGCTTTATATGTGTTATTTCTTTATTTTACAGATGAAGGAAAGGGGACTCAGAGAAGGATAAGTAACTTTCCATAATCTCATAGCTAGTGGAGAGCCAGACCAAAATTTCAACTCAAATCTGCCAGCCTCAAAGCCCATGCTCTTTTCTATTCTACACTGCCTTGGAATCCCAATAGAAGTAGATCACTATCTACGTGTTATTAGTAAAATAGTACAAATATTTTTCTGCCTATTAGTAGTGCAAAGTCTAAAATTATAGAGAAGACCATACAAAGATTCTAGAACCAAAGTGGCCAATTAGAAACATTTATTTTTGTGACATTTTTCTTTATAAAATCAGCTCTTTTCCGGCAAACGATCTAATTAAGATCACTTCACTCTGACCTTCTGTAAAATGGAGTAGAACTGAATCACCTCTAAGATTTCTTTAAATTACATATTTTAGGTTATAATAAAAAGCAAAAGTGAGAGAAAAATTGAATGAAACATGTGAAGACACTGAGAGAAATGAAGAGGGTAGAAATTCATAGTGATTGCACAAGAAGGAAAGATCTCTTTGAACCAATATTAGTAAAAATTCTTCATTAGATCCTTTTGTGTGTGCATATGTGTTTTTAAACAAGCCAAAGAGTATTGTCATCTCCTTTTCAGATACAACATAAATGTGTCAGAGTTATAGAGCTCCATAATACCATTTTAAACATCAGACTCAGGAACCCAATTTATCTGTGTTTCAGTTTAGGCCTAAGCCTATGAATAATATGAATTTATGCTCATATTATATTATGTGAAATGTGAAAAATAAGCAGGTGTTTTTAAGATAGTTTAAGTCTTATGTTATGAATTATACATATGTCATAAATATGGGGAGTGATAAATTCCATCTCAATTTTTGCTTTTACTTTCTTAATAACTACAAGACTCATAAACCTTAACACACTGTAATTAAGACCTATGTATTTTTTCCTTAGTTTGCCAGAACTCTAATTTGAAATAAGAATTAAAGACAAAATTCTTTCTAGGAAGAAAACATTCCTAGACCATGTAGAATTATATGGTCTAGAAGAATGGTTTTCAAGCTGTTCCAAAGAATTCTCAGGTCCTACTGAAGAGCTTCTGGGATTCCACAAGCATTTGATTTGAATATACTTTTGAAAATAGTTTCTTTTTAAAATACTTTTAATTGTAATAAGATACATACAGATCAAAGGAGTTTTATACCAAATAGCAGTACACTGGAGAGATCATAGCCAGGTTAACTCATTTTCACGCAAACCTCAGAATAAAGTTTCTCCTGCTTATCTCTGTGTATATACTGAACTGAATGAATTTTGTCACTGATAAGGAAGGCTTGTAATACTATATTGGTCTTTTATTCTATCTCCTTCGCCCCATCTCAATTAAGGCCTGCACATATTTGTTCACTAAAAATTATATAAGCAAAAGTACTATTACAGCACAATGTGTGTGACACAATTGAGTGGCAGCTAAAGTGAGGGCACATCTTGCCTTCAGTGCACATAATAGTCAATAAAGGAACCTATAGTCTCAAAAAGACATTAGCAATTGCTTAGTATTTGTCAATATTTTCTCTTTCCTTGTCCAACTCTTTAATATATGATTAAAAATGTGAGCAGTTTGTTAGAAATAGTGATTAAGCTGTGAAACCAGTTCCCCACTCCTTTATGATCAAGTTCTGGATGAAGTTACTTGAAAAATACTCCAAGATTACAAGGCAAGCTGTTTATAAATTTAAAAAAAAAAAATCACATGGAATGAACTCACTTGTGAAGTAAGAATTTTTCTCAATACTGATAACTAAACAAATTGGGTGCTGAAGATAAGTAATAGCTTACTTTATTCATACCCCTTGATATTAGATTTGTATCCATCACAACTTTACTGCTCTTGTTAAACTTAGAGTGTTAAAAATACTTAATTTGCAAAACATACTTATAATAATAAAATCATGCTTGTATCTGTTTTCCATCTGGGCTTCCACATTATTTAGGAACACAATTTTGCAGCTAAGAGGGTCTAATATATTGATGAAAACCCTGGAACTCAAATTAATATGGGGCTCTCCTCTATTCCCCTAGTCACTGTTCAGAGGAGAGTGAAAGCAGGCAGTGGGGAGAAGAAAGATTTACTCCATGCTGAGGGCCTCCCTTATCTACAACAAGAACAAGTTAGAAACAAGTACTGCCTCTTGGTACTTAATACCCCAAAGATCTACATACTGATCACATCTTCTCAATCTCAGACATAAACCAAGAATGTGGCTATTACTTATTCTATCTTTGCTTCCAGACTGGCCTACAGGTCAATATCTCTCATAAACTTAGATGTAAAAAACAAATTTTAGCAAATGTAATCTAACAATATATAAAACAAAGAATATATCATGACAAAGTGAAGTTCATCAAACGAATGCAAGACTGATTAAAGATTAGAAAATTAATGCTATTCACATTATCAGAATTAAAAAAGAAAAATCACAGATCATCTCAAAAGATGCAGAAAAATGCTGCTCTAAGATCCAACACTCATTCAAAATTAAAAAAAAAAAAAAACTTGCAGCAAACTGCAAATAGAAGGGAACTTATAAGCTGATGAAGGGCATCTACAAAAAAAAAAAAAGCTATTATTTTAATTCACCGCATAAGACTAAATGTCTTCCGGGAACAAAGAAAGGACGTCTGTTGTTCTATTCAACATTATACTGGAGGTTTTAACCAGTGCAATCAGACAACAAAAAGAAATAACAGACATACAGACCAAAAAAGAGAAATGAAACTGTCTTTGTTTACATAATTTATTTAATAAATTATTTAATCTATTTTTTAAATAACACTATGCACCCACAAAAATTTAAAATAATAAAAAAAAATTTTTAATCTATGTAAAAAACTAAAGTAAAGAAACTAGAATAAGTGAATTTAGCAGGGTTGTAGGATACAAAGCCAGTATCTCAAAAACTGTTTTCCTACATATAGTCAACACTCAAAAATAGGGTATAAACTGTTCAAGTCCACTTATAAGTGGATTTTCTTCTGCCTCTGCCACCCCTGAGACAGCATCCTTGAGACACCACTCCCTCTTCTTCCTCAGTCTACTCAATGTGAAGATGATGAAAATGAAGATCTTTATTATGATCCACGTCAACTTAAAGAATAGCAAATATATTTTTATCTTCCTTATGATTTTCTCTTTTTCTTTTTAAGAGACAGGGTCTCACTACGTTGTCCAGGCTGAAATGCAGAGAGGGCACAATCATAGAGCACTAGAGCCTCAACTCCTGGGCTTAAGTGATCCTTCTGCCTTAGCCTCCTGAATAGCCGGGATTACAGGCACAAACCACACATCCAGCTAACCTTATGATTTTCTTAATAATATTTTCTTTTCCCTAGTTTACTTTATTGTAAGAATGCAGTATATAATACATATACAAAATACATGTTCATCAGTGAGGCTTCTAGTCAACAGTAGGCTTATTCGTAGTTAAGGTTTTGGGGAGGGTCAAAAGTTACATGCAGATTTTCAGCTGTACGGGCAGGGGGTAAGGGTCAGCACCCCAACCCTCATATTGCCCAAAAGTCAACTGTACTCTCATGTGCAACATAACAATTTTTTTTGGTCAATGATGGACCACATATCTGACATTGGTCCCATAAGATTATAAGACTGTATTTTTACTGTACCTTTTCTACGTTTACAGACACAAACACTTACCACTGTGTTACAACTGCCTACAATATTCAGTACAATAATATGCTGTACAGGTCTGTAGCTTTGTAAGATTAGGCTATAACATACAGACTAGGTGTGTAGGAGGCTATACCATCTAGGTTTGTGTAATTGCCCTCTGGAATGTTCACACAATGAAAAAATTGTGAACCAACTCACTTCCCAGAACATATCCCTGGCATTAAATGATGCATGACTGTACTAGCAATAAACGATCAGAATTTGAAATTTAAAAATGGCCGGGCGTGGTGGCTCATGCCTGTAATCCCAGCACTCTGGGAGGCCGAGGCAGGCGGATCACCTAAGGTCAGGAGTTCGAGGCTAGCCTGACCAACATGATGAAAGCCTGTCTCTACAAAAATACAAAAATTAGCCGGCTATGGTGATGCGCACCTGTAATCCTAGCTACTAGGGAGGCTGAGGTAGGAGAATCGCTTGAACCCGGGAGGTGGAGGTTGCAGTGAGCCAAGATTGTGCCAATGCACTTCAGCCTGGGCAACAGAGCAAGACTCCGTCTCAAAAAAAAAAAAAAGACAAAAAGATAAAAAAAGAAATTTAAAAAATATCATTCACCAACAGAATAATATGAAATACTTGAGAATAAATTCAACAAAAGATGGACAAAACCTGAACACTAAAATCTATGAAACGTTGCTGAGAAAAATTAAATATATCTAAATAAGTTGAGAGATATCCTGTGCTCATTAATCAAAAGACTCAATAATGTTAAGATGTCAATTCTTCCCAAACTGTGCTACAGATTCAATGTAATCACAATCAAAACCCCAGAAGACTTTTTATAGAAACTGACAAGCTGATTCTAAACTTTATATGGAAATGCAAAGAATATTAGAAAAGCCAAAAC